CTGCACTGGTGTAAGTGTTTGCGTTTCTGTCCCTGTACTTTTTAGCTCAGTGCTGACAGAGTGTGTAACGATCTGAGTGGTGTTTGTTTTGGTCAGTCCAGGGGCAGTTATTGTTGTTAGGTTGGTAACATTTTGGAGAGGTGCTGTTGTTGTCTTAGCTGGCAGTATGGTAATTGTTTTGTTGGCCTTGTTGCTGATGGTATGTGTTGTAACTTCAGTATGGTTAGATGTTGTCATTTTGGTGAAAGCTGCTTCGGTAATGTTTGAGGGTGTTTTTGTTGGTTTCACTGTTGGTATTTCTGTCGTCGTTCTGTTTAGCTCAGTTATTTCTGAATGTGAAACAACCTCTGTGGTGTTGAGTGTAGTCTGCCCTGTGACGATAAGTGGTTGTAGGCTAGTGACATTTTGAGAGGTTGGTACTAGTGTAATTTCTGTCAAATTTCTGCTGAGTTTGGAGGTAATGGTAAGTGAATTGTTTGTGTTCTTAGGTATAGTCTGTCCTGTGACAGTAGTTGGTTCTAGCTGGGTACTATTTTGTGGTGTTGCTGTTGTTGGCATGTCTCTTCTTGTACTGCCAAAATTAGTGCTGATGAAGGGTGAGACCTCTGTAGGCTCTGTCATTTGTCCAGCGCTGGTTCCTGGTGATGGAGTGGTAGTCATTTTCTGCTGTGTCGTTATGTTGACTTTCAGCATTTCTGTACTTGTGTTGTTAAGATCACTGGTTATGGGTTTTAAAACTACTTCTTTGGTAGTAGACGTATTCAGCCTCTGCGAAGTTGATGGTGCTGGGGTGGTTACCTCTTCGGATGGCTGTAATTGTGTCCCTGTTGGTGTTTCTCTGGTGGTGTTAATCAGCTGAGTGGTGACGGGAAGTGAAGCAATTTTACTTGTGTTGAATGTAGTCGATGCAGTTGTAGTTATTGGTGCCGCAGAAGAAGATTTAGTAGTCAGTTGTGCAGTGGTTACCATAGTAGAATTATGAGCTACTGCAATTGCTTGAGAAGAACTAGGCGGACCAGTTTTCAGATTGGTTAATGGAGGGTCTGTTGCAATACTCTGATTTGTAGTTTGTGAACTGGTGGTTGCTGGATTTTTTGCTGTAAAGTTATAAATAGATATGTGAATTATTTAGCTTTTCTCTTTCTTATTTAAGATAACAAAAGATCAGAAATCCTTCCATCTTTTAAGTTACACATTTGCTTAAAAAGAAAATAATCAGTTAAGATTAAGAATCAACTTACCAGCAAGACAAACTAAATTGAGTTTGTTACTGCAGTTCTCAGTGTACCACTTTCCTTCATTTTCCAAGTTAGCCGCAACACATCTTCGATTGTTACCATAGCTAGGTTCACTCACATCCCAAAACCGGAACGATGAGCCACTACCATCTGACCATGTCCAGGGATCTTTGAAGAGGCCAATCCACAAACTTTCAGATGTGGAAATGTTTCGAATAGCTTGATTTTCTTTTTCTGAGTGTATGCTAACAAGATCAGATAATAGGTCCCAGCAATGACTGCGAGCCTCCCTCCATGATTTCCTATCTTCAACAAAGATGGGACTCTTGATATGCCTGCTGCCTGAAAAAGAGGAGAAGAAGTGCACACTGTTGCTCAGAATGTGATACATAATCATCCCTCTCATCTCAATGCATTTCAGTAACTTGTAAAGGTTTTTTGGATACCTGGTAATTAAAGTATTTCACTTCAAACAATATTGTTTTACTAAAAATATATATCATAAGACCGATGAAGAATGGTTTTAAATACAGTAAGGTAGAGACATGTTTAGATAATCAAGGGAACTATTGCTTACCCTGGTTTACGGCTTCCTGCTCTGCTCTAATCTGACACAAACTTTGCTATAAAATATTCAGTTCTAATTTACACCACAAGCACTCTGATAAGATTAGAAGCCAAGAAGTGTCCAAAAAGGATTGTGTAATAAAAGCCAGTTAATGGAGCCATAAACAAAGATCTAGACAACTAAAAGAGGGAAATATAAATGACCTTTAAAACTACCTTGTTTTTATTTTCTATTTTTTCTATATCCAGATATTTTCAGGTGTATAGTATAGCTATACTGGTTATTTTTGGTTTATTTATTTTTGTGTAAGTAGTGTGATTAATATAAACACCACCATTGTTTTAGAACATAGGCCCTAAGAAAATCTCTTCTGTCTTTAGTATGTAATTTGCAGAATATAGATCTGCTGAAGCCTGTTTCCTGTTGGTTCAATGTGATCACTTTAGACTGACTCCAATTT